AGCCAAAGGATGCCTTGAAAATCCTCGGTCTCTCCACACTGTGTCACCCTCTGTCCATCGCTTTTCTGCTGGAGAAACTCTGGCTTGGAGCCTGGCTCCACTGGCACAGGCCATGTGAGGAGGACGTAGCCAGGTAGCCTTGGGTTTCTTGGTCCCAGCCTGGGGCTGCATCAGGGACACACCAAGGTGTCCATGCTCCTACTCTATGGTCCCTTCTTTGCTCTCCTCTGTCTATCCCATTTGTCTGCCTCTCTGTAGCACAAACCCGTCAGTGATAACCCCAGCTGGAGCCAGGCACCTTCCCTACCTACTGCCTCAATGGGGCTGGGCCAAGGCTGCCAAGCTGAGCTTCTAGGAATCAGCTATAGGGGACAAAGTTTCTAGATGGGCTTCTTTGGGGCTAGAAGTGAATCTGAAGATTTTCACTTAGTAAGATACTCGTGACAGTCACTCGTGACAGTGAGCGATTGTATGTTCACCATGATGGGCTCGGTCACAGAGATAGTAATAAGGAAAACCTCAGCGGAAAAAGATGATGCTCAAAGTCTCCTGACAGGTCATTTGGGTCCTGTCTCTCCTTGCATTACAGGGTCTGGTCTCCTTCAAAAATTGCTGACAACACTGTTGAAGCTCATGTTTGGAAAGAAGACATGGGGAAAGAAAAGAAGGGCATCCTTCATTTAGAGCATCACACAGCTAGTGTGGGTTGCCCACTACATCCCTCATCTAGTTGGGTGCACAGTGGCCAGGGTGTGCAGGGCTGAGGGGGATTGTTGCGAGTCTTTGCTCCTACTGACCATGCACCGACCCCCATGGACACATAACCCTTCCCAGAGGACCCTAAAATAATGGGTGACAGGCATCTGCCATACCTTTTGGGGCAGCAGCGCCCACTGAATCTGCCATGCTTGCTGGGGTGATGCAAGAGCACAGCAGTGTTTCTTCTCAACCTCAAAATCCTGACCCTGGGCCCCAAGCAGAGCAAGGCAAAGCCTCGGCAAATCCCAAGGGCAAAACTTGGTGCCTGCAAGATGCCGAGAGCACCTTGAGGTCTCAGCCTCCACATCATTTGCACACCAGCTGTCTCCTGGTGTGGCCTGGGTATTTGGCTTCTCTCTCTGTCCTCCTTCCAGTTCCCTCTTGGCAAGGAAGGGGAAATTCCCTGCTCCTCCCGACCCGACCTGCGCTTTTCCCAATGGTTTGTACTTCACAGCAGCATGGGTGTGTGACAAAGGATATCCTTTCTCAGCTTCATCAAGAGCAAAGAAAATATAATATATATTTATATATATTATATATATATGTATATATATATAATTAAGTTTAAATATCTGCAGAGAGATCACAACTACCTCGACCTTGCTAAAGAAGCCTGTACAGCAGAGGGGGGTGAATAGTGACAAAATCCAGAGCAAAGACAGACACCCAGACGCCAGACAAGGACAAATGTCCATGGCAGCACCTGGGCTCTCAGCGTGGAGCCCAGCCCAGCGCACGGCCAAGGCGGCACCAGACCCCTGGCTGAGCCCCTCGAGCATGCACTGGGCCCCCATGTCCCTGCTGGGTTTGGGAGGGAGCAGCAATGGGGAGGGGACCGCCATGCGCCTGCCCTCCCGTGCCGCAGCCCACTGGCTGCTCGGTGGGCTCGACTCGTCTCCTCTGTGCGCAGTCACCATCCCCCTGCCTGGCTCCTCCTTACGCCTCCCGCCCCCTCGCACCCCGCCATTCCCCAGCGGCCCCTGTTGCTGCCCCTTCGCTACTCCGGCGCTCGCCTGACCGAGAGAGGCCCTTTGTGGTGCCGCTACTGGTTCTCCTCAGCCGCCGGGTCGCGGCACGTGCATTCGTCCTGGTCACAGTCAGCAGCAAATGGGATCACCTGGGGGGACCAAAGGGAGATGTAAGCCTCTGCTTTGAGATCCCTGGCTCCCGGCACCCCTATGCCCCTGCAAGCACTCTCCACCCTGGTACAGACAGGGAGATACTTTGAGCTGCGCCCCAATGCTGTTGGCACTGTGGAGACTGCCGGGCTCCACACTCACATAAGAAACGGGCCCTGATACAAGCTGTCCCCAACTGAGTTTTGTTCTTAGCATTTTCTTTTTTGTTAACTTGTGTTTCAAATTTTGCAACCAAGGGTCAGCTTGAGTCTTGTGCCCCAAATGTTAAACCCTGGGGAGAAGTCTCCCCTGGTAGGTGTGAGACATTTGGACTAGGGATGGCCGTGGTAAGGCATCTCTAGATTTCAAATTTACTTTGGAACCTGTTAGAAAGCCCCCCTTGGCCATATCTGAGCCTATTGAAATGTCCTTCAAGCTACTCCTGGTTCTTCCAGGCTCAGCAAAGCATGAGGGTAGCATAACCTTGTCTTCTGCACCTCTCAAAGGAACTCAACCAAGCTCCTATCTACAATGGCTGGCCTCCACGCTACCTGACATAGGAGCCAGGGTAGATACATACAGTTCTTGTGCGTTGTGGATGCACAAGAAAACCATATGATGCATAAGAAAACCCAGGCAGGCTGGAGGCTGAATGAGCAGGAACGGCCTTCAGTGGGGCAGGCAGTGGGTCTGTCTAGGGCCACCCACAAGCTGTGCTGCTTTGAGACATCCCGTGCAGGTAGAGAGGCTCACTGCACATTGCTTTCTCTACAAAAGCTGTATGTGGCTGAGCAAGCTTATGTCATCTTAGCTGGTGGCAGCAGAGCAAGGTGGGAGGGCACCACCAGAGCAGCTGGCTCCTGGTTGACAGCTGCCCAGTCACGGGGCATTGGAGCTGAGAAAACAGTTTCCTCCAGAGGTTTCATACACACCAGGCTCAGAGCCAGGAGTTTTTCTTATGTTTCAAATGTGGAAACACATTTGATTTTTCACAGCCTGGGCAAGTGGTTTTGGAGTGGTTTTTTGGTGTTTAAACCCCATATTCCTGCATCTGCCTAAACAGAGATGTGCTGGAGGCTTGTGTCATGGGAGATCTGGGACCTGTGGGGGAAGCAAGCTGGGGCTGGGTCTCCCGAGAGCCATGGGACTGAATCCTCCCACCTTCAACTGCGAACCCGTCCTTTGTTTTGGCCAGAGATCCAGATGTCTCAGACCTCCTGAGAGCCATGCCTTGCTCCAAGATGTCATGATATCGCTGTGGAGGTTTCACTCATCACTTGGGTATAAAGCCTTTTCTCTCCTATCTCAACTGGATCTTCCCAGGATTTTATTTTTCCTTTTCTCTGTGTGTGTATGTGTGATGAAAGGAAAAATGATTCAAGCTCCACAACAAAGATGAGAAGATCCAAATTCACATATTTTTGCAGTGAGAAATTATCTCATGCCCTGTGATTTGTTTTGCTGCTGGATATGCTTAGCAAGGATGGGCTGTGAGTGCTGGATAGCAAGTTAGGTGGGAGGGGAGGTTGTGATGGGAGACAAAGAAGGGTCTGTGCAACCCCAAAGCCAAGTTTCTCCCTCTCTATGCTATTTCTCCCTCCTTTCCTCTCCAGGAGAATTAGGAGGGAAAGACAGCCCATAGCGGATGCCAGTGGACCCTACCAAAAATCCCCTGAGATTGCTCAATTATATGACAAGGTAACTTCTGGCTTACCATGGCTAACACTACATCCTATGGAAGTCATTTCTTTCGGACTCGTTTTCCAAAACGAGAGGGAATCCTGTGAACCTCAGTGGGAGCTGGGCTGAGCTTTCAGTCCCACTGGCCTGAGTCCAAACCCCGCTGTTAATCAGTGGGATGATGTCTATCAGCTTCAGCTGGCTTCAGTTTAAAATCATAGGCTTGTGAGAGAACTGCTTTGCAGACTCAGTTCCACGGCCAGAAAAGCCAAAGAGCATGGCTGGCAGTCACCACTTAATCCTAAATACTGGTCAGCACTGCAGAAGATGCTCACTTACCTTCCTGGAGGACAGTGTGGAGGAACAGCAGTCACCCCCGTCATACTGGCAGTATGCCCGGTTATTGATGGTGTCGCACCAGCCATCTGCTTGGAAGGGCTAGGCAGAGAAACAAGGCTTTGCTGAAAGGATTATTCAAAAACAGAGATCCCAGGTCCTCCACAAGGCCCCTGTGCACATCTGATAAGGGCCAAGGCCCAGTTCCACCATACACAACCCCCTCTTCAAAGCCAAAGGGCACCAGAAGACTGGTATCCTGGCTGGTGTGTGTGGAGTAGTGGGTGCTCAGAGGGCAGCAGCTGTAACTCAGGGATCAGGGAATTTTGTCAGGAAGTGAGAAAACAAATCCACATCACTAGAGAGCGCCCCCAGCCTGAATGCCACAAGTCTTCGTTCCCATCTCACTCAGTGCTTCTCCACGGAGTCCATTGCCACCCAACTAGCAGTTGGTTCACCCACCTCATCTGCTCGTCCACCTTCTCACACCACTCTTACATGTCTGCACTGTAATCCAGCTCTCTGCATGTTCACAGCTGGGGAAGGGCTCTGTAAGAAGCTGACCCAACTCTACCCTCCAGCACCGCTCCTCCCAAAGAACTTGGCTCTGAAAGTTGAGCTTGGTGACTTGGCTTGGGCAGCTGAGTACAGAGAGGCTGTTACAGGGATCGATAGAGCATCCTACTAGAGGATGAATCTCAGGAAGACAGGTGCTTTATCTCCCTTGGACTACGAGAAAGGTTCAGCAAGGTCAGGATTATCTCAGAAGTACTTGCACTCAAGCCAAGCCAAGCATTGGCAAGCGCTGGTTAAAGGACTATGCATTTTCCAGAATGCCCTTGCTCTGGCTCTGACCTGGAGGAACAGGTCCCCAAGCTCCTCTAGACTCTCCACTGGGGGCTCTAGCCCTGTCTGCAGCACATGGCTCCACCAAGCCTTGCCAGGTTGGACTACAAAGCTACTTATCTGGTGGCCAGCTGGGACAAACTAAAGGGATCTTCATTAAACTCTAGTTTCCTGCAGGCAAAATCCAACTCTGGATTGAGCAGAGAGGGCACCAGCCTACTGGTGACCAGAAATATTGGCAACGTGGCCACCTTCTGGCTTCTTCGTCCTCATTTCTCTTCTTTGTGGCTCCAATCATACCCTCTGTAAGGAAATCATATAGCTGATTGGTGGGGGATTTTGCATTGCCAAAATAATGGTGGCTCCTCTTTGCACAGCACAGCCCAGCACCCATTGCTGCACCATCGGGTCTGCCTGGACAACTGGGGATTTGCAGAGCCCAGCTTGCCTTGGTGCAGCTCAGGTAAATGCTCTGTCATTAACACACCTTCTTTATTTTCAGCTCTAATGTGGAAACAGAAAACTATCACAGCAGAATAGCTTTTTGTCCAGAAATGTTAAATGGCACAAGCAGCCATTCAGAAATCCATTTTATTGTTGTTTAGTTACATGAGTCATCTGATCAGAGAAGAGAAACAAGCAACTGGGCCTGAGAAGCAGCCAACTAGGGCTGAGAAACAATGCTGCGCGGCTGGTGCAACCAAACAGCGTGCGTGTGAAGCACTTGCAATGAACTGTCAGGAACGATCTGCAGCAGAGGTTTATTTGTCACAGATACACAGCAGCACTGCCAAGCAACAACCAAATGTGCTAACAGAATGGAGAGGCCATTCATTAACCGAGTGATTAGTAATGAAATGCTTCTCCTGCTCCAGGCTCTGTGATGGTAGCTACTGGCCCAGCGACCATGGCCAACCTCCAGGAGGACTGCTGCCATCAGAAAGGGCTCTTGGTGGAAACCTGGCCATTCCTTTGCTCATGGAAGCAGCCAACCTGTTTACTGGATCTGGTGGCCCCAGACAACAGCTGGGCTTCACAAAATACCTGGACCCAGACTTTGGTGGGCATTCGCCTGTAGCACCCCTAAACCGAATGACAGCCAGCTGAAAAATGTCACCGCACCGCAATAGCCCTGCATCCACTGCGCCAAAGCCAACATGCAGGACTGGTGATAGTGCCAATAATTAACACGAAAAAGCCATGCCAAAACCAGGGAACTGATGTGGCTTTTTGTCATCATGACTCACAAGGAACAGAAATGGGCTCAACGCAGGCTAATGTCACTTAAGGAAGTAGCAGCAGGGATTATGGCAAACCACAGAGCCTGTCTGTGCTATCAGTACCACAGTCCCTGGGCCAAATCCAGGCAGCCACAGTGAGATTGCTTTTGCCTGGAAGATCTCACAGAAGAATAAGAAAGAGCACACCTTCCTACATCTGGGAAATTGAGGCACAGCCGGGTTAGGTAGCTCACTCAAAAACATGAAGGGATTTGGCTCCCATCACTGCTGTCGCAAACCACCTCCAGAAGAGACCAGGATGCAATTTCACCAAGGCAATAGATTTAACACTCCTCTTCCATTGAAAAGCATCAGTGGGTCTTAAATGATGGTGATCAAAGAAGGTCTCTGAGCCACAAAGCAGCTTTGAGCACCAGGAGGGACAGGGCAGGGATGCTGGGGCTGGCCGGTCCATGGATGCAGACAGGGGACCGGCCAGGGCCGCTGGCAGGGAAGAGCTCTTCTGGGTGTGATTTGCTTTTGCAGCCTTCTGCAGGGTAGAGTTTTTCCTTGAGCTTTGCTCCATATGTCATGACTCACTGGCAAAACAACACCCGCCGCTTCGGTAGTTTCCATACAATTATGGGGGGGTTTGCCCATCCCGGCTGCACAGGTCTGAAACAGTTTCCACATCTTGTGCGCAAGGTGCGGGAGGACAGAGACAAGGACAGGATGGGGAAGGAGAGGCTCTCAGTTTCTCTCTACACCTATTAGGGCTAATTGCCCCCTCTTCTCAACCCGCTGGAGCCTGTACCCCACCCTAAACAAATACAGGCTCCTATGGCAACACTTGTTGGGGAAACTTAACAACTCATGCTCCAAATTACATTGGAAAAACATATGAGGGGAAAATAAAAAATGACTAATTGGACTCGAGGTTCAAGAGAGCCAGGCGCAGGGTTCGGGGACCGCTGTCCCTGCTCCTCACCCGGTACCTGGAGAGCACAGTGAATCCCATTGCTTTGCCTTGTTAAGGATTTCCAGCTGGTTTCATCTTTGCAAGAGGAAAGAGCGAAGTAAAGTGCTGGTGGGTCACCCCTGAGGGCGCAGGTGCTCTTGTACTTGCGTCAATCTCATTTTGGTCTCACAAGAGTCACAGCAAGGGAGGACACAGGCACGTACTAAGAGCAGGTGATGTGAGAGAGGAAAACCCGTAAAGACTCTCTTCAGCCTGTGCTTGAGCTGTGCGGCTCTACAGACAGCAATGCCAGCAGTGGGAGAAGGGAGGTTTGCCCATGTTGGTGACTCGCAGAAACACCCTACGATGTTTTAAGATGGTGACAGGAAAAATAACCCACACCAACGGCCAACTGTGCCATGCAAAGGCAGTGGATGTGATCCAGGGAAATGGCCAGCTGGGTTTCGTTTGCCAGAATATGCATCCTCTAGCACAGAGGGGGAAAAAAGGCCTGGTTCAAATGGCTCCAATGAACTGGGAAAAAAAATGAATAAGGTAATTGCTGCAGCCGCTCTGTGCCACGTTAAGTGATAGGGAGCTGCTCAGCTAGGCAGCATGCCACCGAGGCAGCTAGCAAGCTGGGCTGTGTCAGCGAATCTCCCCGCTCGTGCCATCCGTCTTCTTTGTTTATTCAGACAGGAGCTTCAGCGGGGCATGTGTTAGCACGTGGAGGTGCAGCATCTGGCACTGCTGGGCCAGAGCCCTGCGCTGCCGGCATAAAAATAGTAACCGTGAATGAAGTGCTTGGCAATTTAAATAGGCTAGAAAACCACACGCTCTCAAAGCCGGGAATAGGCATGAATAAAAAGAGAACAAATTAATTAAAAAAAAAAAAAAAAAAAAGAGGAAAAAATATTGCAGGCAAAGGAGGGACGTGAGATAGGACTAGTTAGATCCCACCGCATCCCAGGCAGAAGCATCTCAGAGGGCTCGGCAGTGCTGTTTCTGTCGAGGCTGCCAGGAGATGCCGTGCAGGGAGCAGCATCTGCACATGGTGTTCTTCCACCGTCCCTGCAGAGTCCCTGGGGCCAGGGCCGAGCTGGCTGGCTCCCTCCCCAGAGCTGGCGTCCTGCCCGCTGGGGAGCCCCCAGTGCCATTGGGGAGGTGGACAGGGTCCAGACATTTTTCTTCAAAACCACCTTATATGTAGGTTGATTCACTGCGAAAGAGCGTGAAAGGGTGCGACAGAGTGAGGGAAAGATGGAGCATGAAGGATAAATCACAGATGCCATCAGTATTGTACATATTTTGCTGCTGTGTCATGGGCGCTTGATGAACATTATTTCCCAGGAATGCAGGTTTTGCTCTGGTCGAGCAGACCTGAAGGCCTGGTATCTTGCTTTTGGCAATGACCCATTCCAGATGCTTCAGAGGAAGGTGGAAAAAAGAAAAAAAAAATTCAGTGTGCACCTGGCCAATTGTGTAACCGAAGAGCTTTCCTGCGCTGCTGCTGGGATGGAAAGTGCTTGCGATTTCAATCCGCCCATAGCTAGAGAAAGCCCAGATCCCAGTTTTAGGGGATCAAGTCCAGCCTTAAGAAGCAAAAGGTTTCCCCACAACTTCAAGGAGGCTGCGCAGGTCCTGGGCTTTGCAACTGTGCCGATCCCATCCAAGCAAAGTTGTGTCATTTGCTTTCATGCTGCTTCTAAGTCAGCAAGGATTTTGTTGTCCTTTTGTCCTTCCCTTTGGGCATCAGTATTTTGGGCATCAACCTCTGACCCTTTGCATGCTGAGACAACTACGCATGACCCTGCAGCTGAGGGAGTGCAGGTGTCTTCGTCCTTCTCAGCTGTCCCTCTCAAAGTAGCCCCAGAGGAACAGAGGAACCATCATCTCTGAAGGGGCGACCAGCCCTGGAAAAGCTGCCATGCTGTCAGACCCACGCCTTCCACATCAGCTTCACCAGTCTTAGCTCTGCTCTTGCCATGGATGAGTCATTAGTGATGGAAAGATCAGTTGGAGGAGACAGGAGGGACACAGAGTGGCAGGGAGCCATGCTGGAGAAATGTCTCCCCTCA